TTATGAAAGGAATTCTTCCTTATTAAGGAGGGCAAAATTGTCCTCTGGCCCTGGAGAGAACGCATCGAGTTTTCTTCACATACTCCTTTCCTGGTGTGCATATTCTGCCCTTGCCAATTACGTGGTGTGACAAAGTTCCTCCTCTATCTTGGTGGGTCCTGCGCTTATTGGTGGATTTTCTTGCCTCAGAGATTCACCATGTGGGTTGGGGAACAGCCCAGAGGCCTTCCCCTCTGAAAGAACCCACAGTCCAGGTCAATTGGGAGGTTTGGGGGGAACCCGGGCCCACCCTCTACTCCAGGTTCCAGCCCAGGGCCCTGTGGACTGCAGCTGTCTATAGTGCCTCCTGTAACAGCTGCATGACAGCTACAACTCCCTGAGCTACTTCCCCATGGCCTCTTCCGAACACCTTCCTTAGTCTTACCACAGGACCTTCCTCCTGGTGTCTGATAACACTTGTGCTCCTCAGTCCTCCAGCAGCACACCCACACCCTCTCAGCTCCTTGCACCTCTTGCTCCTGGCTCCTGACACTCACACCACAAACTGAAGTGAGCTCCTTTTTAAAACCCAGGTGCCCTGATTAGCCTGCCTTAATTGATTCTAGCAGCGTCTTCTTAATTGGCTCCAGGTGTCCTAATTAGCCTGCCTGCCTTAACTGGTTCTAGCAGGTTCCTGATTACTCTAGTGCAGCCCCTTCTCTGGTCACTCAGGGAACAGAAAACTACTCATCCAGTGACCAGTATATTTGCCCTCTACCAGATTCCTGTACCCCACTGGTCTGGGTCTGTCACAGTGGGCAGAGCCTATCAGCCTACCATAGATTGGCAAATCTTCCACCCATATCTCCAAGTCAAAGAGGAAAAAGAGGACAGCTGGACTTCTGAGAGACTTGAGAATGAGTTCAGCTAGGTAATGAGGGATGGTTGAGGAGAGATGAGAAGGTGGGATTTACATGCTGAATATGTTGGGTATGGGGGTAGGCAGATTGCAGTGGAGCTGGGATGGGCTAAAATGGGGAGCAGAACCAGCAGTTAGCATGGGGTGAGGGTGGGCCTCTGCTGTGAGAGTGGAAACTGTTGAGCTCAGAAGAAAGCCAGAAGCTGGAGAAGAAGAGATCAGAGTGCTGTTTGTGAGGAAACAGGTGAGCGCTAAGGAAGGATTGGGAATTCTCTGGAGGGCCCAAAGTTTCCTTGCCCAGCAAAGGGAGATGAGTAGGCAAATGCTGGTGGCTTTGCCCCTGCCATTGAGAAGGCTAAGGTATGGTCTGTCACACTGTTGTGATTTCATGATGTGTGGGACTGGGTGGTCCACATTGATAATTTTTTAAAACAGATTTTAATAGTTCCATGTGGTGTTTAGACTTTTTTTATCGGTGGGTAGCAGAGTAATGTTTATCAATTGCTAACAGCAACAGCGCTCTGTTACAGACACAAGTGTACACTATAAAACCTCTCCTTTATTATTGTCATTATCCTGTGCTTGCTGCTACATATTTTATATCAGAGAACATTTTTAAAAATTACAATAGAAATGACCTTTTGTTTTTCATTCCCGAATGTGGAATGTTCTCTGGGAACTCTAACAGCGTTAAGGTAGTAAAGTATGCTGACAGATTTCTAAACAAAATACTTGTGCACAGCTGCAGAACATAAATCATTCCTTCCAGTTTCTGAATTTTATAAATTGTTGTTATGTGAAAGTTACCTCTGTTCTTGTTTGACTTTAACGAGATTTTTTTGTTTAGGCAGAAATATTGTTGCTTCTCAGTTTTGCAAATATAATGCCCTTAGTTGTAATGATTACATAGCTGTAGTTCCTTCAAAAATGGTTTTAACTGCCAAGATATTTGTATTTTCATAATAGTCAGCTCACATTGTACAAAATTTGGGGATGATGTCCTTTACCTGTCATTTATCTGTAAATCAAACGGATGCAAATGTTGTTTATAAAGTAGCAACAGTAGACCAAAAGCCAGCTAATAGTGTAGTCATATTCTTCTAGGAATAAGGGCCCATTATTTTTAGACACAGGTTTTGCCATTTTCCATATGACATACAGTACAGTGCTGAGGGATCATGTTCCAGTGCTCCTACCATGCACTTCCTAACATGGCTTTAACTTGAAATAAAATAAAAATTAGGAACGGATAGTCCTTAATGTGTCTACTGATGATGTTCTTTCAATGACACAGCATAGGGTGGACAGCTGAAAACCTCTGTGCTGTTGTGAGACACTTGGCAGGCAACCATGAGTTGGTAGCATGTCTGCATGATCTCTTGGGGATTTAGAAATGGGATTTTGGGAATCCATTTATCTCACCCAGATGCTCACTTATTAATAACAATATAATATTTATAAAAGGTCCTAATACCAAGGCACTTGAGGCACTCTATAAGCAATTAATATATGATAATCATATATAGTAGTTAAAATGTCATACAAGATAGATAATAAAAAGCCAGACAAAATGACAGCTATACAAATATGGTGGAAAATGCAAGGTGGAGGAGTTACCATCCATAGGTGATAGCAATTAAAATAGAAAACATTCCTGAATTAGAAGTGTTTGCAAATGTTTCTGAATGGGGAGGTGGTGGGTTAAGGTAAATATCCACAGGAAGTAAGTTCCTTACCCTAAGGCAGGGGTGGGCAAACTTTTTGGCCCGAGGGCCACATTGGGGAATAGAAATTGTATGGCGGGCTATGAATGCTCACAAAATTGGGGTTGGGTGGTGGGAGGGGGTGCAGGCTCTGGGGTGGGGCTGGGAATGAGAGGTTTGGGGTGCAGGAGGGTGCTCCAGGCTGGGATCGAGGGGTTTGGAGAGCAGAAGGGGGATCAGGGCTGGGGCAAGGGGTTGGGGCGTGGGGAGAGGCTCAGGGGTACAAGCTCTGAGCGGCGCTTACCTCAAGTGGCTCCCGGAAGCAGCGGCATATTCCTTCTCCGGCTCCTACACAGAGACACGGCCAGGCGGCTCTGCACGCTGCCCCATCCGCAGGCACCGCCCCTGCAGCTCCCATTGGAGTGCGTAGGAGCCGGAGCAGGGCCATGCCGCGGCTTCTGGGAGCCGAGTGGTGTGGCCCCAATCCTGCGCCCCAGCCAAAGCCCTGGAGCAGGGCCCAGCCATGTGGTGCAGTCCCCGATCCAGCGCCCCGGCCGGAGCGGGGCTGAGTTGCGTGGTGCAGCCCCCGACCCAACGCCCCAGCCGGAGCGGGGCTGAGTCGCAGGTGCAGCCCCCGACCCAGTGCCCTGGCTGGAGTGGGGCCCAGCTGCGTGGTATGGCTCATGGGCCGGCTTAAAACGGCTCGCGGGCCAGATCCGGCCCGTGGGCCGTAGTTTGCCCACCCCGCCCTAAGGGAATGCAAGCCAAAGACTTTCTCAACCTCAAGTTTGATGATAGAATCCCTGAAAGGTGGATCGATAATGCCTGAGTAAAGATGTCCGTCACTACAAGACTCAAAGAAGAGGTCTCGAATGTAGTCAGATAGATAGATAGATTATAAGACCAGAATGGACCATTGTGGTGATTTTGTCTGACCTGAATAACACAGGCCATAGGACTTCCCTGAATTAACTTCTGTTTGAGCTAGCGCAAATCTTTTAGACAAACATCTTCTGTTAGTGTCTTCAAGATGATAGTCAGAAGTCAAGGGGGTATATGTGATGCATCAGACAGCATCAGTGCCAGCAGATATTTGCCTACCAAAAGTTGTGGTGTAGCAGAAGACACTGTCATCTACTCTCAAGTGTGATTGTGTTTCATAGATCCTGCAACATGCAGAGTGCCACTGACTCCCATCAACTGCAATGGGAGGTGAGGTAGCTCATCATCTTGTAGGATCAGTAGCTCATGGGATCAAAACCAAAGTTAGGGGATACCTGATAGGAGTAGAGGAACCAGTGAACTGACATGAAGCAGCTGCAATGAGGGCCAGAATCTAGCCCTATTTTTGTCTCAGAACATTGTAACTTAAAACATCTGGTAAATTGTCAGCAAGTCACAAGACAGACAGAACCTAGAAAACCAATTTATTTTTATGACAAACTCCAAAGTACATGACAAGAATTAAAGTTTGAGGTTTGCAAGATTTCCATTTGGAGAGACACTCGTGGTATTCTTATGGCATCTGATAATTTTTACTATGTGAAGCTTGTACTCAATATAAAAGGAATGCAAGTTTTTTGCAACTTCTTCAGTATTATTTATATGCTGTGAAGTGTATCAGATTGCAAATCAAGGATTAGCTGGGATCAATGTAATTAGAAGATTTGAAAAAGAAGAGAGATCTCAGTGGAATAAAGTTACAACATTGCTTCTTATACAGATTGATACCTTCCAGTTCTCTTCCTTTCACAAATGTAGGGCCTGATCCTGCTAGCATTGAAGTCTATAGGAGTTTGGCCTCTGATTTCAGTGGAAGAATGTAGTATCCCTTTACATAGTTTGTGAGCCCTCTTGTGACACAATCTTCTAAAACAAACACAGAATACAGTGAACTCCACTAGAGCTCACAAAAGGGATACACCCAATCCCAAAACACTTTAGAGAAGGACTGGGTTGTTAATAGGTGGAATGAAAGTTGATTGATCTGACCTTAAGTTAAATAACTTTAAGGAAACATTTTCTAATACAAACTTTTTTAAAAAAGCATATTTAAAGAAAGCAGTATGCTTTTTCTTCCCAATTTTGCACATCTATTTATAGTAGCATTAGGGTTCTGTGTAAATTGGCCATCTTGCCAAGTGGTATTCTATTGCTCTTCTTCCACCTTGTTTTGAAAAATACCTTTACAAATGTCTAAGTAAAGAAGAGAAAACTCTTAGCTCGAGCGTTCATTTTTTACACCTCCCTTTTTGTAGCTTTTAAAATGCCAATTATACTAGCATATACTGCAGCTAGATTTTTGTACAGTTATCTTGCTGAATTTAACAACGCTTCTGCCAGAATGTGTTTACCTTGTTTTTAATAGTGTATTTAGATAAGTGTCATTATTCTTTCAGATACTGATGAATACCGACCACCTGTTTGGAAATCTTACTGTAAGTATTCAAACAGATTTTTTTAAAAATATTGTAACAAAAAACTTTCATTTCTAGTGCTTTTAAAACAATTGAAATACCATTTTTATTGAGATATGAGCTCAAGAAACATTGTGCATTAATATGAAGAATAGCAGGAAATGTTGTCATTTGGAGACACTTGCACTCCTTGATGCCAAAGGCCAAGTGCATCTCTACAGTCCCTGGGATTGGATTCTGTAAACCTTGTTCACATGAGTGTTCCCATTAATGTCAATGAGACTACTTGAACAGGTATGGCCTGGTGGCATAGTGCCTAAGGGCGTTAGTGACCCGGATTCTTGCATGGGAGAAAGAATCAGCCTTTATTTAACAGCAGATTTTCAGAGTGAGTGTGTGTGTGTGTGTGTGTGTGTGTGTGTGTGTATTTGGCCACACAACTACTTTTAAAATGCTTCTAACTCTGACATATTTTTGAGGCTAGATGTCCTTCTGAGACAGGGGCAGGCAAACTTTTTGGCCTGAGGGCCGCATCGGGTTTCCGAAATTGTATGGAGGGCTGGTTAGGGGAGGCTGTGCCTCCCCAAACAGCCAGGCAGGGCCCGGCCCCCGCTCCCTATCCGACCCCTCCTGCTTCTCGCCCCCTGACGGCCCCCTGGGACTCCTGCACCATCCAACCTCCCCGTTCCCTGTCCCCTGACAGCCCCCGGAACCCCCACCCCGACTACTCCCTGCCACCCCATCCAACCCCTCCTCTCATTCCTGACTTCTAGAAAGAGACCTTCTAAAAACGTTAAAATCTATTACTGGCACACGAAACCTTAAATTAGAGTGAATAAATGAAGACTCGGCACACCACTTCTGAAAGGTTGCCAACCCCTGGACTAGAGCCAGCGCTAGGCATAAGCAGACTAAGTAATTGCTTAGGGCCCCAAGCAGCTCAAGGAGCCCCCTATTAATTATTAGTATGTGTTGTATGTGTAGGGTCCCCCCAAAAATATTCCTGCTTCGGGCCCCGAATGGGCTAGCAACAGCACTGCCAAAGACACATGAAAGCAGCACTTAACATAATGAAAGAATTCACCTGGGTAAGTTGGGACTTATTTTGAAATAAATCCATTTTTTTGGACGCTGGATCATGACAGCACATCATGGAATCTGTTCTACTGAGTTCAAGGTTTTAAGTTTGTGTTAAACCTTTGACAAAAAAATGTATAAGCATATTTTTGAAGTGTAAGATGTTACTAAAGTTTATAGAGAATGGATTAAAATAATTCTTCTAAACTGAAAATATATAATAGAAATGAGAGGAAAAAAAGACTTTTTGAATCATTTAGTTCGTGCCTTTGCTAATGCAGGATTATTTTCTACAGCAGGGGTTCTCAAACTGGGGTTCAGAACTCCTTAGGGGGTTATTACATGGGGGGGGCACGAGCTGTCAGCCTCCACCTCAAACCCTGGTTTGCCTCCAACATTTATAATGGTGTTAAATATATAACCAAGTGTTTTTAATTTATAAGGGGGGGTCGCACTCAGAGGCTTGCTATGTGAAAGGGGTCACCAGTACAATAGTTTGAGAACCGCTGCTCTACAGTATATATTCTAGGTCTAAATGCACAGAACTTCCATCTCTTCTGAAACATTCACTTTCAGTTTCCATGAGTCCTGCAGAGATTGGATGTTTCTGTTCCAACAGGCACTTTGTAGACAGCATTGCCAACCCTAAACATTCAAAAATCATGAGTCATGCTTCAAAAAACCCAAAACATTAGTGTTGGGTATTTTTTATTTGCCATCTGGTTTCTGAGCATTTAAGATGAATTCAAGTAATAGTTTCAAGCTTTTCTCTGCCGCCATGAAGACTAGAAACTTAAATTTTTTTTTTAAAATCCCCAAAGCTGAGATTCTTATATAATCTCTAGTTTCCAGGCACTGGGCCTTTAACTAAAACACCTAATACTGTGAGACTCATGATACATTCAAGAGAGTTGGCAACACTGCATAGGCCTTAAAATTTTAGCAACTCCAGAACTTTTTAAAACTTATTTTAAATTAATTGAAATGAATGAAAAATAAGCAGCAAGGATGGGGGGGAATGCTAAAGATTTTCCCCCAGCTGTCTTTGTTGCTCACATTCAGTTCCTTCAAATTCAACCATCTAAAGAGAAGACCAATCTCCAACCCATTCAACTGCTGTCACATAATTGCGGTGGTTGGAACCTCAGTCTGCATGTGAACATAGAAGCAATCTCTGTGTGGCTTTGAATCATAACTTATTACATCAATGGCTTGCCATATGTCAAGCCAGTCACTTAAAATAAAGGCACTTACACATGAAGTGACTTGAAGCAGGCTTTTGCCTTGTAGATGATGGTTAAAGAATAAAATTGGAGCACATTGTAGCTTTAATATTAAACATCATTAATCATAACAGCCATTCATCTAGTGTTTGTCACCAAGTTCTGTATGTTTTGCTTTCATTTGCAAATATTAATAATAAATCACAATACTGTACCTTCTGTGAACTCAATGAACTCTGCCTTTTCATTCATTTTATTTTACACCATGATCTATAATGAGGTGTCCAACCTTTACAATGCCAAAGCCTCATTGGCAGCTAGCCCAGTACCTAAAGCAACACACATCATTTGTAGATGTAACTTATGTTTTTCATAATTTTCCATAATTAGAAGTAAGTGCACACAGTCATATTATTTGCTTGTGTTGCTGTCTCTCTTGATGAATGAATAGGAATGTCTTATTCGAGTTCACTAGCAATAGTAGCGGCAAGGAAACAGCAGCTGATAGCGTGGTTCTCATGCAGCAGTTATAGGAAAAGGCTAGAGAGCACATTTTATAACTTGACAGACCACACAGTGTATTCCTGACCTGCAAAGAATAAAAGGCCCAGTCTTTGAGGAGAAGGTCATCTTCAGAAAATCTTTCTAATGTTGATGTGAGGCAAGAAATGATTAGCCTGAATTTTTTTAGTGCTCTACAAAGCGTGTCACTTCCATTTTTAGATCTAAAATTATCCATTTTCTCTCTGCATTTTTTCTTATAAAACCTGAGCTAGTTCTCCACAAGTATCAGATTTGGATCAGGGAATAATTTCTTCATTTGTGGCATAAAATATTATTTTTATAGTGGAAACTGGGGAAAATAAGTGTTCATGCTGTACTTCCAATGAAAAGTTGCAAAGTTTACATTATTTTGCTATTTTTCATCACTTTCAAAATCACCCTTTTCATATCTGTGCAAAACAATTTTTAAAAGTGGTGAAATAGGTTTTAAATGAAATGAAGATAAAGATAAAAGATAAAAATGTTGCTTCCCCCACCCACCTTTGGAACAAGGATCTCTAGTGTGAGTATTTACTTGTCATCTAACACTGAGCCATTTTCTCCATTGTGATGCTTATATTCTTAGCATCTTAATGAAGTATGAGTGTAAAAAAAAAAAAATAGTTATGGTCAAATGCCAAACATAATGAAATAAAATCTCATTGGATAACTAATTTATGTTCTTGTTATGTGAAAGAAGTGACAGCACATGTTATCAGAGTTGTTTGCTAGTAATATTGTTTGAAAGATAATTTAATTTTAAGGGATTACATCTCTCTGTCTATTTCAGAAAGAAATCTAATCAGATCCAAATTTTTGTAAAGATAAAATAAGTATCGACAGCCTCATTTTTAAGGTGATTTGCCAAATCAAGAGGAGCTGAATGTCCCTCCTTTTATAGCAAAGTAGCATGTTACTATCATAAATTTACAACTTACTTTTAAAAATGCCTTGGTCTCGGTGAGGCTCAATTTTTAAAAGATAACAAAAATAGATATTTTGGTATTTGTACCCATTTTAAAATAGGTTACATTTTAGGCCTTAACGATGGGGAAACTGCCCACTGAATGACAATAGGTTCACAGCCATAAATGACATTTTGTTTGCTCAGAAAGGTTAGTGAACAATCATAAAGACATAGGGCCTGATTCTACAATGCTCTGAGTTTCTTCTGTAAGGTCCTGAATAGCTTCAGTCCCAAGTGAAATCAATGGGAGCTGAAGGTGAGCAGTGCCTTACAGCACTGACTGAATCCTCTTGCTGAAGAACAGAGTTGTAGAACCAACATGTTTTGGATGTATTGTAAAATGAAGCTTGCATTGATCATAACTTCTGTTCTTTTCTGCCTGAGTCTAGCTTTTTCCCCACCTTGCCCAGTTATCACACAGTAATTAATTAGATAAATGAATTCTAATAGCGAGTGGTTTCTGATTAGTTGTGAATCATTTATAATATCTTGGCCTATGTATCCCTCTGCACAAAATCTTGCAGCAAGTATTTTTTTAAATCAAAATTTAATGTTTTCAGATGCCTAATTTAACAAAAACAATTCTGTGTTAAGCAGAAAACTGAAATATATTTAACTTCTGCCTTCTCTCAGTGTATCAGTTGCAACAGGAAGCTCCCCATCCTAGAAGGATTACCTGCACTTTTGAGGTGGGTATCATGATGATCCAAAGCTTTACATTGTCCACAAACTCCAGATCCATCCACACACTGTACATTGAACAACTGCTACAAGGGAGACATTGAAGTATTATGGAGAGGGCAACTTGAATACATTGCTTTTTCTGATGTTAAAGGGGCACCATCAACTGGAAATCTGGTTAATTTAAAATAAGAGTTAAAAAGACTTTCAGGTACTACATCTTCCCCCTGCAATCACCTGGTAACTTTAGCAATTTTTTTTTTCTTACAGTTACACTTTTTTATTTTTAGAAAACATTTCTCGGTCCTCTCTTTTGTGTGAAAGACCCACACAAACAGGGGAAACTTACTGTACAGGGCAAATACCAAGACTGTCCCTTCGTTATTAAATGCACACAATAAATACAATGAATTCCTCCTCCCATCCCAATCTTTCAGTTATAGTCACCTGAAGCATTACAGACAGAAAGTGTGGGCCCTGATGCTTCAGTTGTGGAATCCTATTGAAGCATAGGGAATACCCATGTGTGCAGAGGGTCAGCTCATATGGCTCGGATTGTAGTATCAGGACCTAAAGTGATACTGTCCCTTTAATGCTATTTGACAAGACTAGCACTCTTTCATAACTGTTTTGAAATTGTAGATTAAAATATTATTGTGTTTAATTGATATTGAACATCCATGTCAGTAAGTTTTTATGCATAACTCTATCTCATCACTACCTCTAGGAACTTGGGAAACATCAGTGTCAATTTTAAGAATGCTGAAATGTTGGGTTTGACTCATTAAATGATATTACAAAACACTGCTCATACTAAACCATTGCAAGTTACTGAATTGTTCAAATTTTATTGCAACATTTTTATCATGCAACAAGAGAGAGGAAATTAATCTCTGGAATGTGTTTGTCATGTTGACATAGCTTTAAATATAGTGGAGCGTGGTACTGTCAGGGGCATTAATAGCTTATAGCTTAGATCACAAAGAAGATTACTTTACTGACTTAAACGGGGATTTCTCTGTACTCTCTTTCAAATGCCCAATTGCAGTTCTTCCAAATAGTCTGTCAACTTCTCGGATAAAAAATAGAGATTTAATGGGAGTCCAATGCTTCATTTTAATGGAAACACCCTGATCTTCCAGGTTTGCATTTTTGCAATAGGTGGCTAGCTATAGTTGATCGGTCTTTAATGTAGCTATATCTTGATCAAGCGTGACAGACTAATTTTTTATGGAACATGTCTCAGCAAGAAAAATTAGTTTTAAAAAATGTTTTGTGCTGTTAATGAGTTTGCTAATAAGGAAACAACATCTAAGCTGTTATTGTTTCTGTGCAAAAACCTTACACATTAATATTGAAGTTGAGATTTTAATCACATAGAAATAATTACATTCACAGTTTTTGTTTCCACTTCAGCCTTTCTATTTTTCCTTTCCATGTATTCAGCACAATAGGATTTTTTGTGATATCACTCAAAATTACACACATTCATTTGGGTATGGTGCTTTTTTTCTCCCTGCCTGTGGTGGGGCGGCTGCAGAACTCAGCCAATCAAGAGAAGGCTTGCTGGAGCAGCCCGTATATAAAGGGCTGCTCAACAGAGCAAAGGCAGTCTCTTCCTGAAAGACAAAGGGGAAGAACTGTCTGCTGAGGAGCACCGGAGATATTGCAGTGCTGGGCAGGGTAGCGGAGCAATAGGGGAGCTCTGGGCTGACCGTGGACAGACTGAGGCCCTGAGGGAAGGGAAGGTGCTAGGACTATGGGGGAAGAGGCCCAGGGAATGTAGTCAGCGGGAATAGGAGGAGGGGCAGTAAGCGGCTGCAAGCTATAGGGTCCCTGGGCCGGGAGCCAGAGTAGTGGGTGGGCCCGGGTCTCTCCCACTCTTTACCCTACTTGCCAATGAGGAGAGTGGTCTAAATCCAGACTGCAGTTTGCCCCTCAAGCCAGGGATTAGACTAGAAACTGCAGTTGGCCGTTGAGGCTAGTGGAAGGACTGAGGGCTGCCTGTCCCCAAAAGGGGGGAGACAGTGGGCTGGGGCACAGCTGGAGGGCCGTGTCCCGAAGAGGACAGTGCAGTCCGGGAGCGACACGGGTCCAGATGGTGGAAACGGAGGAGGAAGTAGAAGGGGCGGCTAGTGAGGCACCGCTAGTAAAAGGTGCCCTGGTGGTCTGAGAGAGCTAATTCCCAGCACGACCAGCAGGAGGCGCTGCGCTGGTGGGTCTGCACCACTACACTGCCCTAAACTGTTGCTAGGTGTCAAGAAATAACTGCTGCTGTCCTCCCCAAAGGTTCCTGTGTTTCGGTGGTGGGTGAAATGTATCCAGTGTATATACATTTTAAGACTATAAAGCACTCTTGGCAGGCTAATAGCGTAGACTGTTACATTTATTTATTTTGATGAGCTGTATCTTTACATTTCCTGGCATTGTCTGTTGATGTAACGAAAGACCATATTGTAATACATATGGATACTGTGATAATGGGTGCCACTCAGGTACCTTGACAGTATGGGAACCTGATCTATACATGTCCTAATTTTTGTGAATTCAGAGTCTCAACTTTACTATTGATATGTACAGCTTTCAGGATAAGCTTTCCTTCTTAAATAAACAGAGAAATACAAAGTATGCAGGAATAGTGCAACCAGAACTGCATGGAGTGGCCTTATAGGAATTAAAATGATGACTGCAGTTTTGTGCACAACATGTATGCTTCATGGACTTTTTTTCCCCACAGTGGAGAGTTGCCTATAATAATACAGAGGAGTTCTAGCCTTGTTTAGCTTAATAGATCTGTCAGGAGCACAGCCCATGCTAATTTGGCTGCAGGCCGGTGTTTGTGTTAATCATTAATGTCCTGGGAAATGGGAGATCATGAGCGGGAGTCATGCGATGATCTCCTTTATAATATTAGCAATACTACTAGACTGCCAAGGCAAGACATAAAAGAGATAAAGTCATATACTATAGATAAACATTTTGAGCATCTGTTTCAATTGCAGTAATGGAACAAGCCTAGAACACCAGCTGGTCATTCATTCAAATTCTAATCAGATCCACACTTGCATTATTTTTAAAATTAGACAAGATCAGGCCAATTCATACTGGAGAGATCTTCAGGCATCCAGATGCTGCCACTTCAATTACAATTTACCTTTACTTAATTTTCTCATCCCAAGATGTATGTGTATCGCTGCAGTATCATTGAGTTTACACATTAGTTTTAAAATTTTATAAGCTTTTGTACAGGTGGCAAATTGCAATTCGTGGTTATTTTAGGAAGAAATAGGCTTGAACTGAGCAGTGCTCACCCTGAATTAGTGATCCAAGCTCTAGAGGGTATGTAGGTTTACTATATAGTACCTAGAAAGGTCTCCGGGTTTAATCCTGTAATTGTAAAGTCTGTCAGTCTCAACAGAGACGAGTGTTTGTAGGATCACTTGTGAACATTCATAACACCAAACTTCACTAAGTACCTCATACAGGAAGGACAAAGAAGCTAGTGTAACTCTAGAATGGTTTTGTCCCAAAACATAAACTGTAGAGTAGAACATGGTCTTGGTTTTAATATGGGATAAGAAATGCATATCTGCAATTTTTAGGAATCATCTGGGAATTGAGAGTTGAACAAAGCAGATTTGTGCAGGATACAATTTGTTGCACATAGATAGCTGCTGAGTGTAAAGTTTAAGGTATTTTTACGGCCCTTCATTTTCAGTTTTTATTTTATTTAATTTTTCCTGGGAATTTATCAGTATTTATTACCGCAACAAAAACAGGTGAAAATCAGTGCAAAACACTATTTAATAATTTTTCTGGGTGAATATCGGGGTTTATTTTGGTGGCTGGAAAGATGGGGAGGGGGGAGTACTCAGTAGATTAATGCTCTGAATTCCATTAATCAATGTGGTTTGCTGCAGAACTCAAAACACAGTGCCAGCTCTGAGTTTAAGAAAACAATAGATCTCTAATCCCCAAATAAAACTTTTCATTTGAAAAAACAGTTTACTGTTGTACACTTACTATTAGCCCATAAGCATTTATGTTTAATAATTGGGTCACACCATTTGCAGTGCGTACACTCAAGTCTATCCTTTTCTCCTGTTCGTTTTTTTTAAACTTGCAAATACTTCCTTATGTTCTGAAATGTATTCTGATACAGATTTTCATTTTCTTCCCATTTTAGTGTGTCAAATCTTTAATCCATCATCTGCTAACAGTTTGAAATGAGTACATGGTGGGCATGAGATTCATCAGTATGTTCAGAGGTGCAACGCGCTTCAGAGCTTGCCTGCGTGCCTTTTGTTTATTGTGTGTATCTTCTAGACTAACACACAGCCTTATTTCAACAGGCAGCTTTGCATATACACACAGACTATAATGTATTATCGTAATACATATATCTCATGCAATGATTGTATTTTCCTAATAAAACAAGTTATTTTTATACATTTGAATGATACGAAAGTAGGGGGAGAATTGGGGAGAAAAAATGAATCATACTTTTTGTAAAACCTGGGAATTTTCCAGCGAAAATCAGTTTAAACTGAAAATGAAGGGGCTTAGGTATTTTTTAAAAACGGAAATGTTCCATTTAAAAAATCCCATTTCTCAAATAAGGTCAAAATTATGACCATTTTGAAGGATATTTTTACATCATAAAAGTACAATTGAAATAATTATAATGTAGCATCAATGTGTATTTTTTGCCTTTTTTGGAGGCGGGGGAGTTGATTTCAGTGTCTTGCCCATAACAATGTTTTTCATTACAAGTACTGAACATACTGTGCAGCTGAGCCAAAGTGGAAGTGAAAATATATTCAGTGAGTAGAAAGGTGTTTAACCTTTCTCTGGGGTCTAAGCTCTTCCTGCTAGTCCTGAGCTTTGATCTGCTCTTTCTCAGCTGGGTTTCTATTCGCAGCCATGAGTGAGGTGGTGAGGAGCAGAATCTTCTTCTAAGTAATTGAATAGTTCTGCTGCATAAGTAATTCTATAAATATTAGGAAGATAATCCCAGAGGTTAGGGGGAGGGAGTAATATGTAATTTGGTATGGTATTAATTATGTTATTCCTCTTGTTGAAATAAGCAGGACAATTAAAGAAAAAAGTACTTGCCAAAGAGTAATTGGAAATCACACCATAAATAATGTTTATTCAAGGTGCAAAGGCACATGCTGCTACAAGAGATAATGTAGAGAGACATTACCAGCAAATAACCCAGTAACTTGAAAATGGTTCTAAAATACTCCGACTATCCACTCTAACTCTGCTGAGGTCAATGGGGTTACACTGGGGTAATGCCAGGATAAAGGACTGGAGAATCAGCCCTTGTTTTTTGGTCATGTGATGGTGCAGCACAGCTAGGCATTTTGAGTGAAAAATAGCATTGTGGGTTAGTGCTGTAAATACTTAAGGATCTTTGAATTCTACATCAGATTCATATTGAGATTATAATATGAAATGTCGGTGCATTGTCCAAAGCATATTGTGATTGCCTCTCTGGGCTGTGTGTGCGTGCACGTGTGCGCGCATGAATATATATGTATAGTTAGAATCTGTCTTCAGGGCACCCCTTGCTGTCACAGCAGGGCACCTCACAATGAATTTAAAATAATCATATGTGAAAGGATATCAAGCCAGCCAAATGATTGAGTTAATTAAAATTACTGCCCTTTTTCGCCTCATAGTAAGACTCCATCCTAATCTTGTGCTAATTGCTAACAAGCCTGATTGAGCAGCATCTCTAAATACCCTTGTCAAAGCAGCCTCTGTGGGTAGCTAAGAAGCATTTGATCATGCTGAATGGGGGTATTTAATGTAACTTGTTAAATTTGATCTCAAAGACGAGTTCATATGAACAAGATTCACCCTGGGTGACTTCCCAAGGCACCGAGGACATTTCAGAATGACACAGTCAAGTGTGAGGCGCATGCCAAGTCTACACCATTTATCTATTCACCCACTTCAGTTTTATTAGCCATACGCCAAAGTTTAGGGGGGAAAATAGAAACAAAACCAGAGCAGAACCATAGTGACTTGTGTGTTCAGTGCCTAGCACAATGGGGCCTGGATCCTTCCTGGGCTCTCTGGGCACTACTACAGTACAAATAATAATAATTGATGACAAATACCACATGGGTACCACTGTTAGTTTCCATTGTCAGTACAGGGGAAAGTGTGTTATCTCTCGTACCACAGAGTAGTAACTGGGGGTAAATGCTGACTTTAAAAAAAAAAAAAAAAAGTGTACTAATTAGAACTGTGTGAATAACTGATTTTTCAGATCTTTGGCAGTTCCAAAAAATAAAGTAAAATAAATTCTGTTTGGGTCAAACACGAAAAAAAAGTCCAGAATTTCCAGCACATTGAAAAAGGCATTTTGTTTTGGGCATAGAACATATCATGTCATTCTCTTTCTGGCCCAATGACTATTTGAGTATTTTATAGAAAGTGGAACAGCTTCAATAGGAGAGACTGAGAGAGCTCTATCCCAGAATCCCCTGTAGCCTGGTAGTTAGGACACTCACCTCAGTGGGGGACACCTGGATTCCAGTCCCTGCTTTAGTGAATATTTAATTATTTATACAAAGTGGGACACCTTCAACAGAAGACATTGAGAAACCCCCCAACCCCGATATACCCCATCACCCAGGACACTCACCTAAGATGTGGGAAACCTTGGTTCAAGTCCCTGCTCCAGAGCATCCCCATCCCACCTCATTCTTGGGCATCGTGCTGAAATCCTCTTGGTAATGTAGCCCAAGACACTGAAATGTTTCTTTTTGATGATATGATTCATTTAAACATTTCTGAAGTTTTCTCTTTTTTTCATTTTTGACTAAAACAAATTGTCAAAATTGACCTGTATTCGCAGAATGTTTGTCTTCCCAAAGCTGCATTTTTCGGAGGAAAAAAAATTTTGGCTGAAAATTTTTGCCTAGATATAGAACTGACATAAAAAGTCTTTGCTAATACAAGAATCAACTTTTATGAACCCTGTACAAACCATCACTATGATTATTGAAATGATAAGGCAATTTACAAACTACTCTCAAAAATTTCTGAAACTCAAGGAAATTTACACTGACATTTACTTGGTTGCAAGAAAAAATGAAGCAGTTGGGGACACATCTTATGCTTCATGTTAAATAAAATTTTCAATTTTAGTGGCCCCCAAATACTGCAAAAAGCAAAAGACATTATGGAGAGATGGGGCACAGCTGAACTGACTTTTCCAGCAAGAATGGATTTAATTAAAATGACCATTCTCCCTCAGCTGCTTCATTTTATTATGGCAATATCCATATTTCATCTCAGACAGTAAGTGGCTCCAATCTTGGAAGGCATGATTTTGCTCCTTTACATGAGGGTTGAGAAGAGTGAGAATAAGCATTATGAAACTCCATCATGGAAAGCAAAAAAGGAGGGTTAAACTTACCAAATCTGTATAGTTACTTTGACAGCTAACTTTAGCTATCCCCGGATCTGTATTGACCAGGATGACAGACCTGGTGACTCGGAGAAAATAGTGTTACAGGAACTTTGTGGTATCAAAAGAAACTTTGCAAAAGATCATGGCAAGGTCAAACAGTGCTTCCAGTTCTGATGAATTTAATGGCAATATCAACAACTAAATTATGAAAAATGCTAGGTGCTGACTAAAGAGATATGCCTATGGGGAAATGTTTATGATAATACTCATAGAAAACATTGCAGAAAATAAGAGGCATATAATTTCCTGACCTACGTTATATACTTGGCCTGCAGAATACATACAAATCAACTCTATTCTAAAGGCACAATTCAGCTTCTGCTAAAGGCAATGGAAAGACTCCCATTGATTTCAGTGGGAGTTGGGTCAGGCCCTATGTGAATACATTCAAAATAAACAACAACAAATACAATAGAACGGGGTAATGAGACAACATGGGAGGTTATAAAGAAACAGGCATATAAATTAGGTGGGCTCAGTTTATCTCCAATCCTGAATGGGTTCCCATTGTACTAAATGCTGTACAAACACACAGTGAAAGGTAGCCCCTGTCCAAAGAGCTTACAGTCTAATTGAAGAAAAGTGGATGTAACAGTTTGAAGGAGTGAGGGCAGTCAGGCCCAGGTTCAGAGAAATGGTAATTTCTCCTTTTAATTTAATTTATCATCCAGAAAAGTCAAGTCCCACACCCAGTCTGAGTGTAGTTACTCTCCAGCTGAGTTTTTCTTTGACAGTTTGCTTTAATCTTCTGCCACTTCACATTCTCATCTTGTTTGCACACTCAGATTTTATTGTGATTTGGATATTTTCTTGGTGTGCCATGTTGACCATTAATCCCATGACAGGCATCTAAGTTTTTTAAAGTTACTTATACACAGTTTTTATGCACAGTATTGCTGTGTGTATGTGTGTGTGTGTGTTTAATGCTTTCATTTTGTCTACTTTCATATTGTTTCTAATGTATAAAATGAAGTGGTTTGCTTGGCAGGAGGAGGGAAATTAGGACCTGATCCTACAAATTTTTATGCATGTGTTTGCCTTTAGGCATGTGAGTAGTCCAACTCAGAACAATGGGACTACTTGCATGATTAAAGTCAAGCATGTCTTTGCAGAGTAGGGGCCTAATTTTGCTTCTCTGGTAATATAGGCTTTCTGTTGTAATCTAGTCAGAAGTATAAAGCAAGTTGCAAGGCAGTGGTTACATAAGTTAACTCTTGTTTCTTCTATTATAAGTTGTATTCTACATCTAAATTAATATATATGCACCAATGATTATAAAGGAAAATGCACACTTTAAAACATTATTGATCACTTCAATAATGAACACTGATTTTCTAAACTGATCAACCATCAGAATAGCTCTTTATTTCCTGTGACTATGGAAGGATTGTTGTTGCTAGACTCTGCATCATATTTAATTTTTGACATCTTGGACTTTTAAAGATCCCATTTAAATGCCATCTCAACAACAAGGGCGAAATATTTATTTTAGTTTGACATTTCCCTGAAAAGATGTGAGGATGAAACTGAAGTGGAAATAAACTGTGAATGATTTGCGCTTGATTATAGCTGGATCATCAATGACTGCAATGGTTAAGGTTGCATAACTGTTGAATTCAAAGCCCAAAAGATTTCCCAGTTCCATAGTCAGAGGAATGATGGTCTTGGGGTTAAGGCACTGCATTGGGATGTGAGAGAGCTGGGTTCAATTTCCCAACTCTGTAACAGGCATCCCAGTTGTAAATTGCTTTTCTCAGTGCCTTGTCTGTAAAATGAGGCTAATGATACTCCTTTTCTGCCACCCTTTGTCTGTGTGCACATTTAGATTGTCAGATGTTTGGGGCAGGGACTGTCTCGTACTATGTGCTTGTACAGCAACTAGTACAAAAGGGTCTTGATATTGGTGGGGCCTCTAGGTGCTATTTTAATACACAAATATGAAAGTTTTGGGGGCACAAGAAATGCAAGACTTGTATAATATTTCACTTACCACTGAAATGTAGCCACCTCTCAGGTGAAATATGGCAGTGGTTTAACAGTGCACAGCAACACTTCTAGCAACTTTAGAAGAGGAAGATGACTTGTAAATTGAAGATTTTTTTAAAAAATGTGTTTCTAGATTATCTCACCTACTTATGCCAAGAAAAAAATGGCATGTATCGTTTAAAAAAAAATTCAATTTGGGCATATAGTAGTTGGACAACGTTACCAATGTGGCTTAGAAAAGCACCAGCATGCAAATGGTTTCAAGAGACTCTCCATTTCAGCATTTAAATAGGCTGCTTCCTCAGGTTGTGTTTAGATTGTTGGACCTTTCAATGTGTCTCCTTACACTATACCCACTGGAAAAGTACTGTAGTGCTGAGTGATTATTATTCTTTCCCTTCAGATATGCTATATGTTCTCTCCTATTTTTAAAAAAGTTGTTCTATTCAAGGTGTTCATTATGTGCCATCTTTTCTGAAAGTAAAATATTTAAAATGTTGTTTGTTTTTTCAATAGGTAGAGAACAGACCCAAATATTATGGAAGAGAGTAAGTAATGTGCTGCTGTGAATCACTGAGTCTAATGTGGGTGGGTTCAGTTCATGTTCAGTGTTGAGTAAAGGTGCCGCAAGTGCACCCCATGGCCTTTTAATTGCCTTTGTGTGTTTAACACCACAGGAATGTGGGGCTAGCTGTGCTAACACTTTTAATTTGCAGGACATTTTGCCTTGCAAAGTAGTGACTCTGCAACAGCCTACCCTCTTGGCTGTTCAGCATACTGTGTGTGGGACCTTGTCAAGGTCATGCATTACATTTTGATGGGTACATCTTGAGTGATCACTGTGAAATTGTGCTCTGCCCTGTTTCTGCCAGTCTGCTCGTTGGGCATGTACAGCAAAGAACTTTGCTCCACTTAATCACACTACTCTTGCTTCCCTGCAAACTCTAATTTGGGTATGGCATTTTGCCCACCTCACATCACCCCTGCAGATTCAGATGGATACGGTATTCTTCAGTTCTGCATTATCTAGGAAAATATAGTGCTGCTGTGCTTCATGTGGTTGGTTGGTTCACCCCAAAAGTGAAGGTCCTGCAATGAGTGTGTGTGTGTGTGTGTGTGTGTGTGTGTGTGTAAAAATCTCTTTGGGGCCATTTGAAATGCCACATGCTATAAAAATGCACATTATCATTTGTATTTACTTGTCCTCCATTTCACTGCATTAAGCAAAGATTGTTCTGTTTAGCACAGAGAATGAAAGCAAATTTTATGTTTGTGTTTATTTTGGTATCAGTGTATGTAAATTTTGCACTTTGTTATGCAGATTATTAGTCAGATTAAATGGATCCCTTGACCCCCTGGCAAACTAGCAAACTGTCCCTCAGTAAGTGTGAGTACCCCTAGCATAGAATATTAAGCTAATGGGTAACATGGACACTTGTCTATTAAACTAATGTAAGATAACCATGTTATGAAAAGAATGCGCTTGTTCTGTAACGAAAGAGTGTTGTTCCCATGCTGTCTGTTAAGTGATTTTGACAGCTAAAGCCTACCAGCCGCAAATAATCATGCTGGCCAAATGCCAAGCAGAGAGAGAAATTAACATAATGGATAGGTTCCTGCTAATTACTGTAGTTTTTATGGAAGCTTCTTTTAAAAAGCCATGTTTTTTTGTTTTTCTTTTTCCTTAAAAACAAACAAAGGTGTGGTCTAAGATGGAAAAACAGTGTGTTTTGAAACAGCTTTGATTGCTAATAAAAATGAGTTTTGTTTGTTAGATTCCATGGTATGATCTCAAGAGAAGAAGCCGACCAATTATTAAGTGTTGCAGAGGGAAGTTATCTCATTCGTGAAAGCCAACGGCAACCAGGAACCTACACTTTGGCATTAAGGTTGGTAATTACTATTTTATTTTAAAAGTTATAGAATATTTGTTATCTCATGGTATTAAGATAAATTATTATTTAATTCCTTTATAGAATTTTTTGTAATAGTGATCATTTAATGACATTGTATTTTTGTGGCCTGGTTACTGTTCAGTATCTTCAAAGTACAGTACTTTAAATCTTTCAGTGAGAGGTTAATGTCTTGGATTTGAAATACTGGGATAACTCTCTATGGCCAGTTGGTTTTATTTTAGTATAGATTTCCCTCCTTCTCTCTTTTCCCACTGCCTTTCGGTTGTGTCCATAGATGCCACATCTGGATATTGAAAATGGAGGTGGAGAAGAATTAGAAAGTTCCTCTGTGATCCGATGTGACTGAACCCAACCTTGTATCAATATTGGTGACCTGTTATAGGAGAGTAACTGGCTGTCCTCCAGTGACTCATGATACTACTCATACAGCCTGTGTGCCAGCCTAATCTGGCCTGTGAACTAGTGTCTATCCTTGAACAGTTATGTGCCAACTGGGTGAGAATGCATGCCATCACCTCTATACTGCTATGAAAACTCAATCAGATTGTTTCCTAACTGAAATAGTTACAGAATGACTTTATAGTATCTTTTACAATTTTTTAGCTTTGTCATTTTATTGTTCTCAGAGATAGTATGTAAAATGAATTGACTCTTCAGTTCTACATACACCTCTACCCCGCTATAACATGGTCGTGGGGAGCCAAAAATCCCTACCGCATTATAGCTGAAACCTGTTATATCGGGGTAGGGGCGGCAGGGCTCCAGCGGTGATTTAAAGGGCCCGGGCTCCCCGCAGCAGCCGGAGC